TTCTTTTTTAACCACCTCCTTCATCACAAGATTTAACCTTCTCTATGGTTGAGCAACTGGTCTATAATCATCCTCCATAAATATTTTATGCATGCAGTAAGTTGGGCTTATACCTTTAAGATCCGAGATTGACCATCCAATATTTCTACCAACTTTTCTTCTTCAAGAAGCAAAGAGTTACTAATGATGACTGGTTTTGTTCCATCTTCTTCTAAGAAAGCATACTTCAAATGTGATGGTAACATCTTCAATTCCAACTTCTTTTCTTTGACTTTTTCTTTGGTATCAATCTTCTCAAAATTAGCCTCATCCTCTGGAATTTNCACTGGTATAAATGCTCCAATAATATAGATGAGAGGTGTGATCAAAATAATTTAGATCACCATTATATGTCCTCTGATTAAATGAAATCGTGGAGAATAATTTTTGATGGAATTGTTGCATGTATAACATGTTTTGAAAAACAGGAACACCACCAAAGAGGTGTAGCTAATGGAATTGCTATGACAAACATGTCTCTATTCAATGCTATTGGCCCTGCTGTAGGTTGTACAATGTAAGTTTTCCTATGATTGAAAGATGTATGATAAGAACGTTGAGAGAACCATACCAAACAAGCCATCCTTAGTGGGTTGGTTATGCACTAGCACACTTTGACTAGTTGTGAATAAACACTTCAATGCTAGCACCACCACTCTCTACTTCATTTCAACCGAGAGGCTTTGATATCAATTGATTTTGAGAGAACCAAACCACAAAACTTAACCAATATAGTTGATGAATTCTAAACCCTGCACTATATTCTCATACTTCCATTATGAAAGTCATTTTACTTTGGAATTGGATTCTAACAATGTAGGTAGCTCATTTCCTGTCAACAGTAGGTCATTTAATAGAAATTACTCTGAATTCTCTTTGATCAGTTAGCAGTTGACAATTTCTAACCACAAGCATGAATTATCTTCATTTTTCTTATGTGTTTGTATGATTAATCCAGATTCGTATTAAAAAGGCAGATGGGTGCTTCTCTCCCAATGATGGAAGTGGCTCCACACTTCAAGTGAGAGCTCTCCCAAACTCAGAATGGACGCAGCAGAATAGAGGAGTGAAGGATATTTCTGGTGCACATCACGTGTTTGATGAATGGTTCAGTGGAGGTTTCGTGAGTGTATGAGGTTTCTCAAGCTCAGAAGGCCTTCCAAAGGGGAAGGAACCTAGAGGAAGAAGTGCGAAATTGACACTAAAAGGTGAACTCGATGTATAGAGGTCTGGAGTAATCTCAACAACACTTCAATATATCTTTCAAGTTAGATTTTACATGGAGATGCACCTCTCTTTTATAGGTGAAGAGAGAGCTCTAAATCTGACTTTGCAAGCTTCTAAGATCACTAAATAAGAGTATCTAAGACGCTACTAAGCTTGGGCTGCAAGTTCCATGCCAAAAACATTAAAAATTGAATTTTTCAAAAGCAGAATTATAGTGCATTTTGGCTGGGTATGAGCAGTAGGTGGCTGGGCTCAGTCTTCATTCTGGAAGCCATTTTCCTATTCATTTCCAATCCGGAATGTAATGGTTCCAATCTGGAAAATGCTTAAATTCTTCCCTTCTTTGCCTCCTTTGTTCTCTTTAGCTTGGCAAGCTAATAACAGTTGAAAAACTGTTATTTTCATGCTTAAAATTGATACTAAAAGAAACCTTTAACACTTAGAAACTAGCTTGGAATCATGCTTTTGTTTATATTTTTGGAAATAAGAGAGTTGGACAGGTTTATGCTTGATTTCAGTGTTTTATGCAGGTTTTAAGGTTAATTTGATGAAAGAAGTGAAGAAGGATAGAGATGGAATCAGAAAAGAACTCAAAAAGTGCAAAAGAGCAAAAGGTGCAAGTACCGCTCAACGCCAGTTTACCGCTGAGCGGCACTAATGAACACCCGTTGGCTCCGTTGAGGGGTGAAAGTGCAGCTGAGGGGAAGAATTCAACACACACACTTACCGCTGAGCGGTAATTTACCGAGTTTATTACTTGATACTTGGTCTTACCGAGTTTATTACTTGATACGATTCGGTCACACTTGCCGAGGGTTAAACAAGTTTTTGGCACCGTTTTTCGGTGTTCATAAATTTGTCATCACAAGACTCCTATGATGTGTTGATGAATCGACAAGTGTACGGAATCGCACAAGTAATATCGCACAAGCCTCCTTCAAACGTGAATTGAATAATAACACCTGCTGCCCTGGATTAAAAACCTTTTTTTTCAGCTTCCTGTCATGATAAAATTTTACCTTTTCTTTATAATTCCTGGGTGAATCATATGCATGCAACCACATCTCTTCAAGCTCCCCAAAGCTTTATGCTCCATCTCCACTGGCAGATGACATGCTTTCCCATAGACTAACTGAAAAGGTGATAAACCCATAGATGTCTTCATTGTCGTCCTATATGCCCAGAGAGCATCATCCAATTTCTATTACCAATCCTTTCTTGACGACGCAACTTTTTTCTGCAAGATCCTCTTTATCTCCCTGTTAGACACCTCAGCTTGCCCATTTGTCTGTGGACAAGGTGCAGCCACCTTATGCCTTACACCATAATGTTTGAGTACTTTTTCAAGCTGAAAGTTGCAAAAATGAGATCCTCCATCACTAAGAAGTACTCTTGGAGTTCCAAAACGTGAGAATATTATCACAGTGCTAACATCATTCTTGGGACAAGCCAAGGCTTCCACCCATTTACTCACATCATCCACTACCACCAATATGTATTCATTGTTGAAAGATGGTGGAAAGGGTCCCACAAAATCAATACCCCAGCAATCAAAGACTTCAACCTCTAAAATGCCTTGTAATGGCATCTCATGATGTCTTGAAATAGCCCAGTCCTTTGACATTTATCACAATTTCTGGCATGATTATGAGCATCTTTAAACAGGGTAGGCCAATAAAAACCTGACTGAAGAACCTTTGATGCTGTTCTTTCTCCATTAAAATGCCCCCCACAAGGTGAATCATAACATTGCCAGAGAATTCCTTCTCCTTCTTCATTTGTCACACACCGCCTCAGAAGATTATTTGCTCCAATTTTGAACAAGTAAGGATCATCCCAAATAAACTGTTTTGCATCATGCAAAAACTTCTTCCTCTGTTGCCAATTCAAGTCTTCTGGAATTACTCCTGCAACTTTAAAATTAGACATATCAGCAAACCATGACCTTTGTTGAATATACAAGAGTGTCTCATCTGAAAAAGACTCCCAGATTTCTTTTTCCTTAATTGTAATGTCACTATTAACTAACCGAGATAGGTGATCAGCAATCAAATTTTCACTCCCTTTCTTGTCACGGATTTCCACATCAAATTTTTGTAATAAGAGCACCCATCTAATCAAATGTGGCTTAGAATCCAGCTTTGTTAACAAATACTTTATAGCCGCGTGATCTATGTAAATGATCACCTTAGACCCAATAAGGTAAGGTCTAAATTTCTCCAAGGCATAAACTATGGCCAGAAATTCTTTCTCATTAGTGGCATAATTTAACTAAGCATCATTCAAAACTTTGCTAGCATAATAGATAGTGTGAAATGCCTTCTCTTTTCTCTGACCAAGCACAACACCTATTGCATAATCACTAGCATCACACATTAGTTCAAAATTTTGATCCCAATCTGGAGCTACAACCACTGGAGCCAAAACCAATTTGCTTTTCAAGATGTCAAAAGCTTTTAAACAGTCTTCATTCATTACAAAGGGTACATCTTTAACAAGCAAATTACTCAATGGTTTAACAATCTTTGAGAAGTCCTTAATAAATCTTCTATAAAACCCAATATGGCCTAAAAAACTTCTAACTCCCTTTACGTTTGTTGGCGGTGGAAGTTTCTCAATGACCTCCACTTTGGCTTTTTCCACTTCAATCCCCCTAGCAGAAATCTTGTGACCAAACACAATTCCTTGCGTTACCATAAAATGACATTTCTTCCAATTAAGCACAAGATTCGTTTGAACGCATCTCTTAAGGACAATATCCAGATACGCCAAACACCTTTGGAAAGAATCTCCAAACACCGAAAAATCATCCATGAAGACTTCAATACACTTTTCTATGAGATCCACGAAAATTGCATCCATACACCTTTGAAACGTAGTTGGAGCATTACATAACCCAAATGGCATCTTTCTGTAAGCAAATACACCAAATGGACACGTGAATGTCGTCTTCTCATGGTCTTTTGGATCTACCACAATTTGGTTGTATCTAGAATATCCATCTAGAAAGCAATAAAAAGTCTGACCTGCCAATCTTTCCAGCATCTGATCCATAAAAGGAAGGGGAAAATGATCCTTCCTAGTGGCCTTATTTAACTTCCTATAATCAATGCACATCCGCCAACCAGTAACTGTCCTAGTAGGAAAGAGCTCATTCTTATCATTATAAATTATTGTCATCCCACCTTTCTTTGGCACTACCTGTACTGGACTCACCCATTCACTGTTAGAGATTGGATATATAATGCCAGCATCCAGAAGCTTCAATACTTCTTTTCTAACCACCTCCTTATCACAAGATTTAACCTTCTCCGTGGTTGAGCAACTGGTCTATAGTCATCCTCCATAAATATTTTATGCATGCAGTAAGTTGGGCTTATACCTTTAAGATCCGAGATTGACCATCCAATAGCTTCTTTGTTGGCTTTCAATATTTCTACCAACTTTTCTTCTTCAAGAAGCAAAGAGTTACTAATGATGACTGGTTTCGTTCCATCTTCTTCTAAGAAAACATACTTCAAATGTGATGGTAACATCTTCAATTCCAACTTCTTTTCTTTGACTTTTTCTTTGGTATCAATCTTCTCAAAATTAGCCTCATCCTCTGGAATTTCCTTTAACGCCTCCAAATTCGTCATACACTCATCAATTAATTTCTCTTCCTCTTCATTCAAATCTTCACATGCATCAATGAGAGTTTTTTCTAACAAAGAAGAACAATGCACCATCCTCTCTTACACCATACAAACTTCATTGAGCATATCAAATTGGAAACATGATTTATCATCCTTAGGGTGTGTCATGGCTTTGAATACATCAAAATTCACTTCTTCATCTTGTACTCTTACTTTTAGCTTGCCATTCTCCACATCAATTAAAATTCTAGCAGTCTTCATAAATGGTCTTCCTAGAATGAGAGGCACATCTCCATTCTCTTCCATCTCCATTATGACAAAATCCACTGGAAATACAAATTTGTCCACCTTCACCAACACATCTTCAACCATCCCATACGGGTATTTAAGTGACATGTCCGCCAATTGGAGTGCCATTCTAGTAGGTTTGAGTTCCAAACCTTCAATTCTTTTGAACATAGAGAGCGACATTAAATTAATGCTAGCTCCCAAATCAATCAATGCTCTTCCAACTTTCAACTCTCCCATGGTACAAGGAATGGTGAAACTTCCTGGATCTTTAAACTTAGGGGGTAATAATTTTTGTATGATTGCACTACAATTACCTTGCACTTCAATGGTCTCCTTTTCAATGTATTTTCTTTTCTTCGTGAGGAGCTCCTTCAAAAACTTTGCATACGAAGACATTTGTTGCAATACTTCAGAGAAAGGTATGGTGATCTCTAGTTTTTTAAAAATCTTCATTAACCGCTCAAGTTGTTTTTCTTTCTCCTTCCTTGAATAAGTCTTTGGACAAGGAAGGATTTTTTCAACATCTTTTTCTTTTTTTCTCTCATCTACCTCTTCTTTCTTTTTTTCTCCCTCAGTTCTTTCTTTCCGCTCAATTACTTCTTTCTCACTCAAATTTTCTTTCTTTTCTCTCTCTATTTTTCTCTCATCTA